TTTCCACATGCATACATACTAGGGCTGTACCGAATAGTGGTTTTCACTATTCGGCCGAATACGAATAGTGGGATTAACTATTCGGCCGAAAACGAATACGAATACGAATAGTGTATCATCATCAGCAGGTGCCTCGCCGACTGGTGTGGCGATTTTGCCTTGCCACACTCTGCGATCTCCGGCAGCATGTATCAGTTTGTGTGCTGACACACATCATGACATGCAACGACTGTCAAGAATCTTATCTCGTTGTCTTTTTCTATCTCTCCTTCCACAAATCTTTCCAGTGGTCACCACATGTTCCATTTTCACTCTTTCTATATGATGACTGTCTTCTTCTGATGTCCGCGATTAGTTGTCTTCGGACTCCCGCCTCTTTCAAAACTTAGTGGTTGCTTTTTTTTAAAGCTGTCCAAGGTATTTTAAGCATTGTTCTGTAAAACCACATCTCTGAGGCCTCAAAAAATTGTTTGGCCTGGCTACCGATTGTCATGGACTCATAGCCATATGTTAAAACTGGATGTATGTAGCAAGCAAGACAACGATATATTGCACAAGATGTTCTTTTTTTAAAAATATAAAATGCATTTTTTGCCTGCCATATTTTTCTTTTTAGAAATGCATCTTTCATCTGATTTTATCCATGTGTCAAATTCGCATTTAAATCATTTTTCGTTTAGGCGTTCGTTCAATGTAATTTAAATGCACCTTCATATTCTCGTTTGCAATATCTTCAATTTGATTTGGGAAAAGACACCCCGAAAGAACAAAAAAAAAATCATGCTTTCTCTTTCTCTCTCTCTCTCTCTCTCTCTCTCTCTCTCTCTCTCTCTCTCTCTCTCTCTCTCTCTCTCTCTCTCTCTCTCTCTCTCTCTCTCTCACACACACACACACACACACACACAGATACACTTTCAAGTTTCTTCATGCCTTCTTTAACACAACAGTAGCGATGCCTAAATCTTTCGTAGCGGGAAAAACGGCGACCCGTTTGCGTGATAACAGCGCCTGACTCCGAGGCATTACAGCAGAGGTTCTAAAACTGGTTGCGTATGACAGGGGTGCCGCGGCGAAAATCAAGAAAAGTCGGCTATAAATTGTGACATTATTAATGAGAGAGTAATTTTAGTCCATCGCAGTGTATGCAGAAATCACTATTCGTATTCGGCCCGACCGCCACTATTCGGCCGAATACCGAATAGCTAGTAGGTCCACTATTCGGCCCCGAAGCGAATACGAAGCGTATATTCGGTACAGCCCTAATACATACACACATCTTTATCACACACCTAGATAATACATAGATAGATAGATAGATAGATAGATAGATAGATAGATAGATAGATAGATAGATAGATAGATAGATAGATAGATAGATAGATAGATAGATAGATAGATAGATAGATAGATAGATAGATAGATAGATAGATAGATAGATAGATAGATAGATAGATAGATAGATAGATAGATAGATAGATAGATAGATAGATAGATAGATAGATAGATAGATAGATAGACAGATAGACAGATAGACAGATAGACAGATAGACAGATAGACAGATAGACAGATAGACAGATAGACAGATAGACAGATAGACAGATAGACAGATAGACAGATAGACAGATAGACAGATAGATAGATAGATAGATAGATAGATAGATAGATAGATAGATAGATAGATAGATAGATAGATAGATAGATAGATAGATAGATAGATAGATAGATAGATAGATAGATAGATAGATAGATAGATAGATAGATAGATAGATAGATAGATAGATAGATAGATAGATAGATAGATAGATAGATAGATAGATAGATAGATAGATAGATAGATAGATAGATAGATAGATAGATAGATAGATAGATAGATAGATAGATAGATAGATAGATAGATAGATAGATAGATAGATAGATAGATAGATAGATAGATAGATAGATAGATAGATAGATAGATAGATAGACATTCAGTAAACGCTCTTATTCTACAATGCATTGATAGCGAGTTACGGCAAGAGGACGCCCTACTGCACTGCAACATCGCACTACATTCGACCCAGAATAACTAAACACATTCATTCATTCATTCAGTTGGAGGAGCTGATCCAGCGAGTCAATAACTTTGTGCAACCTCGACGGAAGACATCGATTCCTACTGCACTACGGAGAGCCAGGTATGAAAGTTTATATATGTTAATATATGTACATATTGTTGCGAATACATTCGACTGCCAGAATAACTAACACATAGTGTCTGGAAATAGCAAATGAAAAAATATCAGTGCATACAATAACGAGTAGGAGACAGAGTTCTTTGTTCATGTGATGAAAAAGGAGCACTGGACAATTTCGTGACAACTGGAAAAATCACTGGTAAAAGAGGCAGAGGCAGACCACGAGATATGATGGTGGATGGCTTGAGACAGTGGCATGAAGGAATATTATCAGTGCTATTGATCTAGAACATCAAAGAGCGAGATATGCGGTGGTGCATAAACGCCTACGCCAAAAGACAAGGCACTTGATGATGATGATGATATATATATATATATATATATATATATATATATATATATATATATATATATATATATATATATACATACATATATATACACTAATTCTCGGAAATTGAACCGGGTATCTTTAATATGTCATGTTGCTTTGCTATCCAGACTAGGACGTTTTAGTCTCAGTGTGTCAAATCTTCAAGTAGCAGAGCAGAGGGTAATATAGAAGAATCGCAGTATTAGAGGTAACTTTCGAAGAGTGTTTGGGGTATTTTGTTGAGTTATACTAGGAAAGCTCAAGTAAGAATTTTTATAGAGTCCCTTTACGATGTTGTTGTATGTATATTTTAGTAAGTTAGTTCAAGGAGTATCTTTGGTGAGAAAGTTTAGGGAGTGCTTTTTGGTGAGTTTGTTTAACGAGTATCTTAGGTGAATGAGTCTCGGGAGTGCATTTGTTTAGTAAGTTTAGGGAATACCTTTGGTGAGTGAGTTTAGGGACGATCTTTTGTAAGTTTAGAGAGGAACTTTAATCAGTGAGTTTTTGGGAGGATCTTTGGTGAGTTTAGGGAGTATCTTTTGTGGATGAGTTTAGGGAGGAACTTTGATGAGTGAGTTTAGATCTTTAGTAAGTGAGTTTAGGGAGTATCTTTGGTGAGTGAGTTTAGTTAGTATCTTTGATGATTGAGTTTAGGGAGGATCATTAGTGAGTGAGTTTGGGGAGGAACTTTGGTGAGTGAGTTTAGGAAGAATTTTTGGTGAGTGAGTTTAGGGAGTATAGCTGGTAATTTAATTTAGGGATGATCTTTGGTGAGTGAGTTTACAAAGGAGCTTTGGTGAGTGAGTTTAGGGAGTATCTTTAGAGTTGTGTTTAGGCGGTTTCCGTAGTGAGTGGATTTATGGAGTGCCTCTAGGGAGTAGGTTTAGGTAGTGCTTTAATAAATTAATCAATTATAATGTTAGCAAGTACAATAGTGTACGGACAATTCTGTGAGTGAGTTGCGTGAGAAATTTTTTGGCAAGTTGGGCTAGTGGTAACTTTAGTAGTTATTCTAGTGATCACCTTTTGTGTGTGGTTAAAGGATAATTTTAGCAAGTTATTTGATTTGAATTTTGAAACCATTTATGACAAACGCCGACCTCCTCTAAACGTATTCGTGTTATTTCCACAGACAGTTGCTTCTAGACTACTCTGTGAGCGAGTCTAGGGCATACAATGGTGACCGAAGTGGCATGGTCATCGTGTTGCTGTCCGATGGTCACCCGGATAACGAACGAGCGACGATCCAGGTAAGTTCATTGTATGTCCACTCCACTCACGGCTGGTTATGTTGTTACTAGTTTACTTGACAGATCTAACCTGCTTTTGCCTCAGGAAACTTAACGTCCAACACAGTTATTTTTAATATCTTTTAAGTTGCGGCCCTTGTTCCTCGCAGCTTTTCTGGCCAGTATTTTTTCCCAGTGGCTACCCATACGTAAGATATTATATTTGCCAAATTGATTTGTCATTGCTATCGGAGATACGTCAGATTGGGATTTGTGTGTGTGTGTGTGTGTGTTCTTGTAAATTTATGGTATTATACATTTTTTGCAATTTTGCAGAAGAATGTTCTCTAGCCGCAACGTTTCTTTGCCGTTTGTGTTTGTGATATTGTAAAGCTGACTGGTTCAGCTTTCTGTTTGGTTTGATAGCTGTTGATGAAATTCTTATAGTCCACGAACTGTAGCGTTGGTAGCCATCAACCAACCGCTTGCCCTGGGTACTTACAGTCAGTTCTGAGATGATCTTCAACGCTAGGAAAGATGATGATTTCCATGCCCAGTATTTGAATCTGATTCTGTCCCTTCTCCTCTGCAGCTTCCCCACCGTCACGAAGTACTGAAGTCTGCTCCTTCTCATGTGGGCTTTAGTTCTTTCTCTTCGCGAGTCAGTGTCTTTCAAGACATCTTCATTTCTTATTTTATATGTCCATGGGTTGTTATCATTCGTCAAAAAGCAATTTATTAATAACTTTACGTCTGTACATTTCCAGCTAGTCAGTTTTTGAGGCAACTGGAAATATGGAAGGGAAGAGAAAAAAGAAAGACATAGACAAAAAATATATCTACGTTTTCTGAGCCCGACGAATGTAAGGCTTTTTCTTGGGAAAAAATATTTCATGAAATCATCTTCAAACCGATGCAAACACTTTGAGGGATCAGACTTCCTTAATATCTATGTACCGGACAAGAATTTCAAAACACAACCTTCCAGAGAATTCATAGCCAACCAACTTCCTTTAGTAACATTTAATCACGACTGTCATTATAATCATTGTATTTTGCAGGAGGCAAAGATCGCCAAAGACAGAGGCATCCTTTTTATTGCTCTTTCGCTAGAGGACGCATATCTCACCCTATTGAAGGATATCTCGCATCTTGTCCAGGAATACAGAACAGCTATCGACTGGCCATCATTAGTGGCTTGCCCAGGTGAGGTTAACTCAACGACACCCTTAAATACACTAATCACTACCCACAGATTTGAAATGTAAGTATTCAGCTAAGGACATAATGCCACATATCAAGTTGCAATAGGAATAAACTCACAGGGAGCAAGTACAGCAGGGATCTACCAGTCATCAGTAGAAGTTATCCTCGTCGACAAACGTTTCGGCCCACGATCTCCTAGACGTTTTCAGAGGTGGGCCCACCTGAGTTCATGAAGCTAAGGGCTGGTACCCTGCTGCACGAAATTACCGGATGGTGTTTTTCTTTCGGATAGGGACAAGACGACTTGGTGGTTTCGCAGAAGGTACTGTGAGAAAAGAAGCCGCCGCGGTAGCCTAATTAAAGCAGTCAGCATACCTGGACGACCGAGCGACAAGCTTACGATTGGTTTACTGGACACATGTTGGACTTTTGTTAGCAGGTGGCAGAGGATCACTGGCAGACAATTCGGACACGATGGACTTTCAAAGGGTGAGAAACCCTTTTCCACTAGAAACCAGGACCAGCTCACCGAGGCCCGTCCCCTACGTTGTTTCGTTGCGTCCAAAGCCAGCTCGAGGCCGAATAGAGGTGGAGGCAGTCTCTACAGCTTTCCACAGGTTTGAAAACAAGCCATGCATAAATGTTAGGATTGTAATAGGTTTACAAAACACGATGAGGAAAGTAGAGACAGATACGCTCAGTGTACAGAGTGATAAGCATCAGTGAAGAGGCCCTGTGTAGTTAGTGTCGTTTGGATCATTTTTCTGGGTCATGCAGATGTGTTTAGAAATGGCCAGGCAAGCAGATTGGCAGGTGTGGCAAAACTGGAGTTTGAACTGATACACGACAAACTAGATGTAGGCAAAGGTTCTTTGGGAGCAAGTGAACAGGCTGATTACGGCTTATAGAGAATGAGGCAGCAGGAAGTGACCACAAGATCTGACCAACACTAAACACTCCAGGGAAAAGGCCGGACAATCCTTGAACATATCATCTATGCGTTACTGGTAACCATCAAAACTGTAATTCAGTCTTGGGCGGAGCGCTTTTGGGAATATCCACGCGTATGTGTCTCCTACCTATTTGTTTAAATATATAATTTTCTTGTTTGGGTTTATATTGATATTATGTACATTTCTATGGCGCTAGCGACACAATACACCTTTTGTTTGAATGTAAAACCGACCCGCTTGCCCAAATTGTTATCCTTTGAGGTAGAGTTCTTTTGTTTAATTCTAAATAAAAGAATACTTTGTATAATTTTTGATAATGTAAGGTTTTGGGAGAGAACTTAACAAGTTCCAGTGGACCAAGAGGCGAAGAAAAGAGGCTGGCGTTAGATAGAACAAACTTTGAGCAAACCTGAGAACAATACAACTAGAATGCTTTTGCACTGGAACCCGCAGGGACATAGAAGTAAAGGAAGATCAAAACACATAGAGAAGTAAGCTAAAAAGAAAAAAAAATTAACAATATGGGGAGGACATGGGGAGAGCTGTGTGTGATAGCAAAAGAAGAACCACCTGGAATGAGTTGGTTTAAGGTCTATGCTCCATTGGAGGCTAGAAAGGTAGATGAAGAAGAAGAAGGATGTATAATTACTAATGTACAAATGTCAATCAGCACACAATACAGCATGGATTCATGTTTTGAATATTCTTTTATTTACCAGAAAGAGATCTTGAACCAGTTCCTAGAGGTTCAGGTAAGTGGACAATAATTAAGTCATCTTTACCATTGTTTTTGGAAAGGGTTTAGTGGCTTGGGAGGTAAATTAACTCACAGATTCCGGCGTTCTATACTCTAGCTAATCTATTACACATATGCTCTCTCATCTTGCCTTGCACAACTCTGATCTATTTATATTTCTTCCTGTAATCGTGTCTAGTCGTGATATCTTTGTGGGTGTTGAAATGTTAACTTCGATACCACGGTTTATCATGATATGTGTTCCAGTGTTTAAGCATCGTATACAGCAAGCGTTAGTTCGTCTCTTTCCTAAATGCACTACCATGTAGCATCACTTATCCAAGATGTTCTATCACGCCTCTTTATTCCTGCACTAGCCCGGCTGGCTAGCTAAGTTGGTTCAACCTGAATGCGCGGATACCGGGGGACAAACTCCTCGTGGTCTGGGTTCACGCCCAGGGGTAGGCAGAAAAGCCACATTTATGCCAGATTCACGGTATTTGTCATGGAATCAATGCCAAATGGTTGCGATATCCCTAGTACCGAGCCAAAAGTTTAACAACTCATGGTTTCTGGATTACTTTAAAAAAATCCTGCATTCATCGTTGCAAATTCTACTATTATCGTCTTTACATCATTCCAGTTGTCCTCAGTACTTTGATATCCCTATACTTTAAGTGCTTAACATAATTTTGTTTCACTTCATGAATGAACTTTTCTCTTATTTTTGACTATCTATCCGTTTTTGTACATGTTTTCTTCTTGCACTGTTTTTAATTTAAGCTTTAATTTTCCTTTACACAAGATGTGGTCACTGTCCACATTTGCTCATCTGTATTTTCGGACACCCATCAAAGAGCTTCTGTAAACCTGTATACAGTGATGGTCTACTTGATTCTCAGTCACTCCGTCTGATGTGTGTCCATTTATGAATAATCCGTTGAGTCAAGATGGTGCCTCCAATTACTAGATATGACCAAATAATAAATTAAACAAATCGAACACCACCTTTATTTATTATGTTAAATCCTTTCTTTCCCATAACTTTCTCAACACCTATATTTTTACTACACACTTCTGCGTTATATTGTCTAATTACTAGCACAAGGTAATTTTTAGTAATTTCATTTACCCGATGCTACAACTTATCTTCATCCTCATCCTCAGCATCAATGTTTCAGCATAACACTAAACCATTGCCAGTTTCATAAATCTAGTATTGAATCTAGCTTTAGTTATTACCCAAGAAAATGATACACATCAGAAATGCATTACAGGCTTATAGTAAATTTAAAAAAAAAACACAAGAAACAAATGATGAGTTGAAGGTAGGGGTAACTGTACTCTAGCTGATATCCCTTCACATGACTTCCCCATGCAACAACTGGCGACAATGATCTTTCCTTTACGGTGCTCACTGATAAAGACTTTTTTCGAAACGTTAAATTATTTCTGTACGTGTTTGTTTCTACCACGTTAGTCGAGATTATAACATTACCTAGTGTTCAATGATTTATCATAACTCCATATGACAAGTTTCTCGCTAGTTAAAGAGTTAATAATTATCTGACTGAATAATTAATTGTTGGCTTTAGAGTGCCGAGATTTGCTGCTCGTGGTCGATGGCTCCGACAGCGTGCTGATCCACCAGGAGACAGTCCGACAGTACCTGGCCTACACAGCTCTCAGATACCGGCTGGTGGCCAATGCAATGGGCGTTAACATCTACGGCACAGATTCCCAGATCCAGGCTGCTGACACACGAATCAGAGTAAGTATGGCACAACAGTTTTATAACCATAGCATCTTCCGTCCAAACATAACGTCCAGGTAATCTGTCTGTGGATCAAGATTTTGCAAGCCAGTTAACGTGAAAATTGTGTGATCATGTATCTTTTTTGTGGCAACTTCATCTGGCAACTTCCTTTGGCAACTTCCTATAGCAACTTTCTGTGGCAACCTCTTGGAACTACTTTCTTTTGGCAACTTCGTGAAGCAAATTACAAAAGAAGATAGGATGCAAACACAGTCTTAGGTTAGCATGAGCCAAGAAAAATACAAACGTTGACCTCCGATCACAGCCTCGAGAACTGGCTCATAAACAGCATCCTGTTCCCATGTGCTTACATTCACATGTTTGCATCATATGTAGATCATATTATATTAACAAAAGCGGTTTTCACAAATACAAATACAAATACATTTTTCTAAAAAAAAAAAAAAATCTTATGAAACACCATGCAATTACTTTCCACAGCTGCAAGAGAACAAGTATGATCTGGCAGACAAGATTCGACTCAACCTCATGTTCCCCACGACCGGAGGTACAGGCACTGACCGAGCCATCACTCAGTCTGTGGGCATGCTCAACGACAACATACGCAACAGACCTTCCTCCCTGATTTTGATAACAGACGGGCCTACCATCAACCGCACAGCCACTAGAGATGTAAGTACATCTGTAAGCAGATTTGTGAGTACATGTGTGAGCAGAGGTGTAAGTAAGCTTGTAAGCAGAGATGTTTTTGCCTGTGTTATCAGACATGCAAGAATTCATTCAAGCAGAGATATCATTTCATTTGTTTTTAGACATGTAAGTAATATGTAAACTAATATGTGATTGTTATTGTAACCTGAGATGTCAGTATACCTGTAAGCAGAAATGGAATTGTTTGTGTAACTAGCGATGTTAGTGTGTGTAAGCAATGGTGTAACCTTTTTATCATCAAAGATGACAATATGTATTTAAGATGAGAAGTAATTGCTATGTAATCATAAACGCAACAATCTGTGAAAGCTGGCTTATGTTTTTTCATGTAACTAGGTTTGCAAGAATGTGTAGGAAGTGATGTAATTGTTTATAATATCAGAAACATATATATATGTATGTAAGCAGGGGTGTAATTGGTTAGCAGAAGTAGTATTGTTCTAAGGCCTAACATTTGATTAGTTCTAACATTTAATCAATTTACTTTTAAAAAAATAGTGCTGGATCGGCCCCATTTACTTGTCATTGACAAGACCACAGAGCTATGTATTTGAAACCAAGCCAACAGAAACTGCCCTTCTTTCGGTTAGCTGGAAATACTGTATTATTTTACTTGAAGTTCAGTTTGTTTACATAAGATGGGAGTGAGTGTTCATTATTATTGTGCTGGCCTAGCTAGTTTCAGTAAATGCCCATTCAGTATGTAGTCAACAGCGGATCCGACCTTTTGACAATTTTTAATAAATTATAACATTTTTTTTTTTCATTTTAATGACCAGTTAGTTATAATATCTGTTTAGCTATAACATTTGTTAATACATCACATCTGAAATCCAGGCAATAGAAAATGCCCGTCGTAGCGGCTACCCGGTCATCATTATCCGCGTTGGAACGGACATGACAGACGAAGAGCTGTACTTTATTTCCGGCGGAAACAGTTCTGATGTCTTCAGTGTGGCAAGATTCACTGACCTCTTCGCTGTACAGTTTGATAACCGCACGTGTGGATTAGGTGAGTAATTCACATATTTGAAATTCACACTCAGATTATATCATTATAAAGAAAGATGTATATGTAGTGATAGGCAAAAAAAAGGGGACACAGTTTCAATGCAAATAACAGTTGGGTTTCTTTTCTAAAATAATGCCTCGCCTCTCTCTACTGGAGAGTGACAAAGCTGTGCGTGTTATTATATCTGGGTGGCAAAACATTCTTCGGAAAGCGGAATCGGTGTTCTGTGCTCAGAGAAGCTTGCACCACTAGGTAGGACACACGAGAGAAGCATATTGTGGATGTTTCCCAAGAATATTCGAGCGTGCATGGTGACAAGCAGGCTGATTGATTTGCTGCTGCCAGTACATTTAGGCCCCCAGCTACTTCTTCATAGAGGGAAGGGGTGAAGCTTTACTTTGATCAATTTAACAGTGCAACTGAAACGACAGGGCTATATTTGGAAATAATTGGACAGATGGGATTGAGCATAGGGTCTGAACGGCTTTCTACCTGCAGCAGAAAAAGAGGCCAACATTTAATCAGCTAGCAACTGGCACATCAGTAAAAGTGTTTTTCGGTGGCTGCTGAGGAAGGTGACGGTGCATGTACGGGAATGTCGTGAAAGAATTGGTATAAATTCCTAATTAATTTAATAGTTCATTCATTCATTCATTTATAGACGGGACACTACGTTTTGTTTTTGTTTTGAAAATGTAAATAATGCGGACACAAACAATACATTGCACATTTTATAATATTTCCCTGTATCTCGTTAGGTGCCTTACTGCCATTACATCAACACATAATGAAACCCACAAACGGAATTAGTTTAGTTACAATACAAAAATCCTATTTGTCAAGCTACACCGCACCGTCAAGCTACACCGTCTGAAATTCCAAAACACCCATTCTAGTCAATACCATGACAATGTGAATTTATCAGATTTCCATTTTGTTTACACAAGCTGGAAGTGTTCATTATTATTGTTACGGCTTAGGCTAGTTTCAGTGAATGCCTATTCAGTATGTAGTATAAAAAATAAAAATAAAACTCTGCAGTCGCAATTCTTATTCACTAGAATCTCACTGGTCAACTCTATCAAGAGTTGAAATTCTCATCCAGGGAAATTTAAAAAAAAAATCTTTGGCTCCCAGGTCGACCCATCCTTTAAGTACATTGCGTACCAAGTAATTTCTTATCCTGGACAGTAAATGACCATAACTTGATATTGACTACACCATCCATTTAATGTCTTTTAGTCTATGAAATATGCGAGTCTATACCTGACGCCTGCGGCGTCCGTGGCTAAGGCGTTGCGAGTCCGACTGGTACGTAATCCAGCATACCGCGATCGAAACCCACTGCAGGCTGCGTGGATTTTTGTCGTGGTATGGGACGTCGCAGGTCGACCCAGCCTAAAATGGGTACCAGGATGGGCTTTCCTGGGAAAGTAAAGACAGCCGGCGTAATGCTGACCACATTACCCACAGAGTGCTGATGGTCTGTAAAAATATGGGACGCTCTGCCCATATGCCCGATGCGCCGAAAGGCGTGAAAAGGGAACTTTACTTTTTTTTTTTTTTTTATACCTGACGCCTCACTGACACGAAAAAGGTTTTGTACTTTACTTTCAGAAGTTGAATTTTGCGTGCACATCCTTTTGACAGATCTAGCATATTTTTTATGCAGACTGCTAGTTCCATGCCTGAAAGACAGATGACTCTGACTTAGAAGAAAACATCACTGCCAATTACTGTCTATATTATACAACTTTTGCGGTGTAGGCTAGGTTATCTTCGAGCCTGTGGATTTAAGACCATATGGCTAGTGCTGTCGCCGAGGATTCGAACCAGGGTCTCTCAGGAGACATCATAGTCACATGTAAAGACAAACGTGTTAGTGATTCAGCGGATCTTTTATTCTCTATCAAAATGGGCAGTCGGAACTCACACAAGGAGTGAATGGATTGATGGTTGATAAACTGTAAACCCTCTGGATAATGTGTGCCTCTAAACTGATCCAATCCATTTGTGGTCTAAGGTTCAGGTCCCTGCTCACTCAACCCTCTGTCGTGTCAAGCTCCAAGAGTCTTCAACCCCGGACAATGCGCATGTGGTGAGTGTCCATATGTCACTGTCTTGTCATATAACCTGTGCGGGAAGGTGTGTGTGTGGGGGGGGGGGGGTGGGGGTGGGGTGAAGCTCCATATATGTGTTCCACAAGCCTTTGTATGAGCGATGGTTTAAACGTGTGTTGTGTAATATCGCATGTGGAGGATGTTTTAAACGTGTTTTGTGCAAAATAACATGTGGGGTTTAAATGTGTGTTATGTAATTTCATGTGAGGGAGTTTATTTCAGGCGTGCTTTGATAGGAGCGACGTTCTGTAAGGGGTCTGCTACTTGACGATGTTTGCAATTTTAATGTGTGTAGAGGTAATTATAATGTTTGTACAGACATTCTAATGTGTGTATAGATAATTCTAATGTCTGTATAGGTAATTATTATGTTTAGAGCTGAGACTGTGGTGGAAGGAGTAAATGGAAATCAAGGTCTGATTATGATTACATCAACATTGAAAGGGGCCACACAAACGGAGAGATATGAACATTATGTGAAATATATTCTTCCCCAATAACGAGTAAATACAGAAATCTTTGATAGACTTCAGTTTGGTTTAGGGAATGCAACAGCAGCAGCAACAGACTGAGAGAATGGAGTTCAACACCACCAGGACAGCACAACTATCGATAAACACCTGGGATACAGAGTACAACCATTCGGATGAGAATCACTTGGACGAAAGTCTCAACCAACCCGTGTAACCCGTAGGTTATGTTTAGCGCCCCTGAAAACAGCCGGGAGAGGGCTTTAAAATAATAAAATATTGCGTCCCACATTGGGACAGGGGTAATGTATCCATTAGCAGCAACAGCAATAGCAGTAGTAGTAGTAGTAGCGGTGTTTAGTAGTAGTAGTAGTTATTTTTTTAATAAAATAATTCTTTTTTTTTTTTTTTTTTTTTGTTAAATGCGTCACATCCTGTTTGTTTCTTCTGATTATGTTTTGAATGAATTTCTTCATTAGCTCGTTACTTTATTTCCACAAGACTTTCTAGAAAAAAAAATGCAATTATTTTTTAACGAATTCGATTTTTTTGTGTTACATCACAGTTTGCCCAACGTCGTGTCCTGTAGGCAGGACGCATGATTCCAACTGTGAATGCGTTTGTCAAAACCAGTGTCCCCATGGGCAGCTACAGGGACCAAACTGTGCCTGTTACTGTCCCACACCATGTTCTTCTGGGACCACCCAGCTCACAAACTGCAGCTGCACGCAATGTCCTTTCAGATGTGAGAATGGACAGGTGAGTGTTGCAATGTTTACTTCGATACCATTGATTGTCATGGTGGGTATTGTAATGTTTACTTCGAAACCACTGTTTGTCATGGTGTGTATTGTAATGTTTACGTCGATACCACTGTTTGTCATGGTTGGTATTGCAATGTTTACTTCGATACCACTGTTTGTCATGATGGGTGTTGCAATGTTTACTTCGATACCACTATTTATCATGGTTGGCGCTGTACTGTTTATTTTGTTATCATTGTTTATCATGGTGGGTGTTGTACTGTACACTTAGATACCACTGTTTATTATGGTGTGCGTTGTACTGTTTAGTTCGTTAACCCTCTTTATCGGGGAGACTGTTGAATGGTCAGTTTACGAGAACGCTAACGTGGGCAACAAATGCCTCAAATGTCAGTTGTATAGGGCGAAAGGCGCAAATATCGCAGCCATGCTGTAAACAGTCACCCATACTTACATCCTTGGAGGAACATAGAAGAAGAAAAAAGAAGAGAAGAAGAAGAAGAAGAGAATGGCCAGTTCGTTACCACTATCTGACATTTTTGACTGTTGCACTGTTTAGTTCGTTATCCCTCTTTATCAGGGTATGTGCTTTGCTGTTTAGTTCTCTATTGTTCTTTATCATTGTAAGTGTTGCACTTTTAGTTCGTTATTGACCTTTGTCATTGTATGTGTTGTATTGTGAAGTGTGCAATGGATCTTTATCATTGCAAGTGTTGTACTGTTTAGTTCGGTATTGATCTTTGCTATTGTACGTGTGGCGTTGTTTAGTTCGGTATTGATATTTACTATTGTTTGTGTTGCGTTGTTTAGTTCGGTATTGATCTTTACTATTGTACGTGTTGGGTTGTTTAGTTCGGTATTGATCTTTACTATTGTACGTGTTGCGTTGTTTAGTTCGGTATTCATCTTTACCATTTTAAGTATTGTGTTGTTTGGTTGGTTATTATTATCATTGCAAGTGTTGTATAGCTAGATGGCTATTGTTCTTTATCAATGTAAGTATTGTACTGTTTACTTCATTATTCCATCATTATCACTGTGGACACTATACTGTTTAGTTCGTTATTTATCTTTATCATTGTGAGTGTTGTAGTGTTTAGTTGTTACTATTTTTTTTTTTTTTTAAACTCTTGCATTGTTTAGTTCGTTACTGTTCATTAAAACTGTAAGTGTTGCACTGTTTAGTTCGTTACCACTCTCTTTCATAGTCTGCATTGTAATTATGAGCGTGTTACTGTTTTTTATAGTGTTGCGTATTATGACCATGTCATGATCACTATGTCTTACTAAGCTAACGGGAAGTATAGAGCAAACTATCACTTATTTTTACTGATGGAGATATTATGTGCTAACTGCAGATGTCAGTATTGTTGCTTTAGTTGTGCATTCCATGGGCCGTATAATGCCTCTCATATTTAGGGCATGTGTATACTCAACATCCTCTTTTTTCCCCTAACCCCTCCACCCTACTCTA